GGTTTGAGTTAACAGTTATGCCACTGACTATGTGACCTTGAGCAAAGGCTTTGACCTGTATGCTGTTGTTTCCTCTTGTGACACAGGAGCAGAATGTTACTCCCCTTTAGGTGGCTGTAAAGAGCGATGCATGTATTGCATGGGTGATTATGAGCTACACAGGCGGTAGAACTGGAGGAGCATACACAGGAGCCTGTGCAGAGGAAGTACTGATCAATAAAAGCTGCTGGACTTAACTCATTTAAATTGGGAAGGGGGTAGGGGGTTTGTGCTCGGCACTGCCCCTGCCTTCCCAATAATGTGTGGCAGCACTGGTAGGTAGAAAAGCTGTGGAGGGGAGTCCTGGCCCAGGTAAGCCCCCATCTCAGGGCAATTTCACACACAGGGGAAATACCATGTTAAGTTTCTCAGTGCTTCCTGATGGGCCCACTAATCTGATAGCCAAGCATCTGTTTTCTTTATGGAAATAAAGAGAATACAGAAAAAAGTAGGTACAATGGTACCAGCAGGTGGCACTGTGGTTAAGGCATTGGATACTCCCACAAGGCTGACCATAGTTCACGTCCCAGACCTGGTTGCTTGCTTGTTTTCTCTCTGCCCCTCTCTATCTTCCTTTGTGTGTGTGTGTGTCTGGTCAAATTAAAAAATATATATATTTTTAGAAATGTAGGTAGGAATATGAATGAGTCAAATATTTTCTTTTTATATCTCCCTTAAAGTTTTGTTCATTGTGTATAGTTTTTTTTTAACTGAAAACATTATCAGCATATGTGATTTATCATGTGGGTATTCCATATTGGACATCCTGCATATTTTTTGCTGTATAACAACTCTTAAAAATGAACATCCATATATAGAAGTCTTCATCTCTCCGTGTATTTCCTAGACCAGTTATCTTGTGCAAAGGTTGTGCTGTTTGTCACCCACACTGACATTTTAGTGGGTGAAAATGGTATTTCATTCTTGTGCACATGGGGCATAATCACTTGGCCTTTATTCACACTGTTAAGTGTGTGTGGTAAGTTCCAGGTTTATAACTGAGCAGCAGGGTCATTCTGGGAGGCACCACTTTGAACAAGGGCTGCCCTCACTTGCAGTGGATTCTTGTATTTTCACCCTGAAGGCATCTGCTAACTCCATGCCTTCCAGCTTTTTAAGTAATTGCATTTTATGGTTCTGCTCCATTAACTTGGTCAGTGTCTCTTGCCTCCTCAGTATTTGTGATAAGGATGTCTCCTTGTCCTGCTTTCATACTGTCAAAGGGTGGCATTTCCTTCTGTGAGTCACCAGTCTTATGTGCTTTATTTGAGCACCCTTTTAAATGCTGAAACTTTGAAGCCACACTTGAATTGTTGCGCTGTGGGGTAAACAGTGCTCAGTGCTGTGCATTTCTTCCCCAGCTCTGGTATCCTGACTTCTGCACCTCTCAAAAGAATCTTTTTTTTTTTTGAGAAGCTTTTGCTATAGGGCACGTGCGTCCACCAGACAGACAGAGAGAAATCACCCCCCAGGGGGGTTGGCCACGCCGCAATCCCTTCTCCTCCATTCTCCTCTCGGGATCTTGGGCACGCACGCACACGCGCCCGGCGTGAGTTTTAAGCCACCGGGTCCAGGACTCGTACCGTGGTCGACTACGTGGCAGGCCAGCGACATAGCTATTACGCTAACTGCTGGTCCCCTCAAAAGAATCTTTTTTTAAAAAAATTTTTTTAACTCACGATAGAATGACAAAGTCTGAAATCAAGCCACCAGGTCCTGGACTTGAACTGCAGTCAGCCATGTGCGAGTCCAGTGCCTCAAACACCACTCCACTTGACGGCCCCAGAATGTTCTTTTTTTTTTTTTACAGAGGTTTTGCTATAGGGTGCATGCACTTGCCAGAAAGACGGAATAGCAAACAGCACCCCCCCTCCAAGGGGGCATGGCCATGCCACAATCCAATCCCTTCTCTTCCATTCTCTTTCTGGGATCTCATGCATGTATGCACACACATGGACCCAGCATGGGTTTTAAGACTCTGGGTCCAAAACTCAAACTGGTGTCTACATGGGCATCCAGTGATATAACCATTATGCCATCTGCTTATCCCAAGAAGAGAATGGTCTTAATTAAGGTCAGGATCAGGTGGGTTGAGGTTATCCCCCGTCATACCTCATCACTTGCTCAAAGGCATGCTCCTTTTCAGCTTGTGTTGTTTGGATCTTATCTTGACTTTTCTTACATAGTTTTTTCCCTGGGGTTTTACCAGATATTTTTGGTCTTCAGTGTTGTGTAATGGCCTGCTGTCCTCCGATGTGTCCCCTGACCTGCTGGACTTGCCTAGAATCTGTTGGGGGACCAGAACTGCCACTCCTGGACCAACCAAGGCTGAGAACCCTAGAAAGGCTACATAGGCCCCACCCGGGGAACCTCTGCTTTGACTGCAGCATTCAGGCTAGAACATGCATTCCTCGGACCCTAGTCCAGAACGACCACTTCTAAAACTCTGGAAATGTAGCCACCTGTCTTTTAACAGCCCTTCCAGAAGATAGTGCATCCCGTGTTCACCAGCAGCATTACAACAGCTAAAAGGTAGAAGCAACCCCAGTGTTCATCAGTAGGAATGGATAAACGTGAAACATACATACGGTGGAATATCGCCCTTAAAGGGATGATATTCTGACATGCTACATGGATATGCCTGTTGGTTTTTGTAAAAAAGACAATGTTACATGATTCTACTTACCATGAAGTGCCTAGAGTAACCAAATTCAGAGAGCTGGGGCCAAGCAGATGGTGTAATGGTTACATCGCTAAGACTCCCATGTGGTTGGTTTGAGTCCTAGACCCAGCAGCTTAAAACTCATGCCAGACACACATGCCAGGCGTGTGTGCACGTGTGTCCAAAACCCCAAGTGGAAAATGGAAGAGAGGGGGTTGCCACGTGGCAATCCCTTAGGATGGGGTGAGTCCTCCCTTTCTGTCTCAGTCTCTCCGGGGAGTACACATGCCCTATAGCAAAAAAAAAAATAGCTCAGGAAAAAAAAAGCTTTATTAAAGATGATTATTTTTTTTTCTTTATAGGGCTTATGTACTCAACAGTGAGACATAGAAAGAAATCACTGTAGGCGGATGGCCACATCATAATCCCTCTTCCAGTCTCCTCTTGGTATTTTGGGCACACATGCACATGTGCCTAGCATGTCTTTCAAGGACTTGAACTGTGCCATCATCCCCTGTGAGTGGGAGCCAACTGCCTTAAACTGCTGGCCCCTAAATTTTTACATTTAAGTGGGGGGACTTTAAAAGTTCGTGAGAAAAACAGAATTAAAATACAAAATTATTTCTATATGAAAATTTTTTGAAATCAGTTTGTCATAATACATATTTTCCATGAACTTGTTGGAGATCCTTCATATTTTGCAATAGAAATCATGGGTATGGATACTCACTGCCATGCCACCATCTATTCTAGATTCAGGTTGGCTGTCCGTGGAGGGCCAACAGATGGCAAAGGTGTGAGAAGCAACAAGCCCGTCATGTGCTCTTAAGACCTTCCCCCAAATACTTGATCACTGGAAGTGTGACCTGGTGGTAGAATGACCTGCCTAGCATGAGAACGTGACAGGTTAACAGACTGACAGGTGCCGTGGTGTGACAGAGAAAGGCACGGCACTATTTCTGTTGTTTCACTGCTGGAAGGGGCTGTCTGCATCTGCTCTTATCAGCCATACCCAGGTGAAGCTAGTCACAAAGCCGTGCACCTTACCTCCATTAAGATGGGAAGCCCAAAAGGCAGACAGATCCAGCAGCAGGAGCCAGCTAAAGGCAGCACAGCTTCTTAATAGGACTGGGTCAGAAAGGAGCAGGACATGGATGAACTGTTACAGTCAAAAACCAAAAAGATAACCAGGAGACGGTCTCCAGGGCCACTACCCACCGAGTACGTGCTCTTCATGAATGTGAGTTATGTCACCACAAGCTATGTGCTCAGCCTCTCTTTCTAAGAACACAGGATCCTGGGAGAGAATCTCAATGTGGGTCATAGGTCCACAGATATTTAAAAAAAAGTTTCAAGGCCAGCAGGTGGTGTGGTGGTTAAAGCACTGGATTCCCACATGGCTGGCTGTAGTTCAAGTCTCATACCCGCGGGCTTCAAAATCATACTGGGTGCATGTGCATTTGTGCCGAAATGGAGAAGGAAATGCGGCGTGGCTGTCCCTCCAGGGATGATTTCTCACTTTCCCCCTCTTTTTTCCAGCAAGCACACTTCCCTTATGGCAAAAAATCTGTCACTGCTCTTCAAAATGAACTCTCTTCCACCCTCATTTTCCATAACCTTCTGATCACTGTTGGTTATTCAGATAGAACAATCCAAAGGTAGGCTTTCTAGTGAAGCAAGCTTTTTAACCTTCTGGATCACTGGAAACATCTTGACGCATTTTTAAATAGAAAAATACAACCATGACTGTTCCCATGACCCAAAAGTTCTTATAAAATTAAAACAGGTTGACAGGTGACATGGTGGGTAAGGGTGCTGGACTCTCCCATATGGCTGACCACAGTTTGAGTCCTGGACCAGGCAGCTTGCTTTCTCACTTTCCCTCTCTCACTCTTCCATAAGAGATGGAAGAGACTGGCACGACTCCCCCATGGGGAGATGCTTTCTCATTCTCTCTTTGGTTAGTGTATATGCCTTCTCACAAAATCTTAAGACAAATAAATAAATAGAACCCAACCAGCTGGCCCTCAACTGGGCTAGAATGCACAGCCTGTGTGCTCACAGTTACGAAAGCACCTGAGGGAAGTGATGTCCTCAGAGGGTCAGACAGTCTCTCTACTCTTGAGGTACATTTCTCTGGGTAGCAACATCTGGTCTGGATGAGGGACCCCTTCCTTCACCTGGGCCCCACAAACCCCTCAAGGCTTCCCACACTGGCCTGGAGCCCACCACCCCAGCTTCCATTCCCTCACCCACAACTTCCCTTATTCCTTTAGTTAGTGCTCAACAGAACCAAAAATTTCCATTAGTAGCTGTTTATTGATCAATAGTTCGATATAAAGTTATTTCAGATCTTTAGATTTTTTTTTTTTTTGCCCAGACAGAACCACAAGCATTACAAATGTTTTTTCTTAAAAATAAAAAAAGGGTAGGGGGCAAGTTGGGAGGGGAACAACCTAGCAGTAGTGGCATTTGAGAATAAATTAACAAAAAAATTTAGTATTACTATTTATTGGTGACAAACACTAAGTTTTACTTACATTCCATGGGGAGAAAAAAATTCCAGCGTAAACAATGAATGGAAGCAGTACTTAACTCGCAAGGCTACCGTGCGTTTCTTCCAGACCGTACACAGAACCCCAGTGCACACCTTTCTGTGCACAGTAACACAACATCAAAAGCAACACAGCTGCATATATAGACAGGTCATTCTTCTCAGCCCTACATGGAGATGTAATGAACAGTATCAAGCACTCAAGGAAAATCAATCTGCAGTTTCTATGTACTACATGGAGATCAGATCCTGTAGTGTGAAAACTACATCCTCAAGAGCCATGGATAGACACAATTTTTTTAATAATCTTTAAAACAAAGATCAAAGTTCATTTGTTTAAGTCCTGTTGCATTAACAAAAATAAAGATAAAATAGAAAAGGAACCGAATGATCATCTAAAGTTTAAAATTCCTAAATAGTCCAATTTATACAATGTGGGAGACTTCATCAAGGTTTCTGAAAAGTCCAGGACTGTTTCAGCGAAACCGGAGGGCACACAATTTGCATCACTGAAATGGTCCTGGGTTAGTCCAATGAAGTATAACTGTGACCACACACACACACACACGAATATGATCCTGACTGGTTAGATTACTGATAACATCAGTCTCAGACAAGTTTCTAAACTGTGCTAAATAACTAGATACAATTGAGAAACTCAAATGAAAATTTTATATAGTGTCATAGCAATCAAAAGAAAATAATGAAACAGAATACATGTCACTGTGGGAAGAGAAAGCAGTGGTCACGGTGTGGGCTGCGGAGGTGTGGGGCCACACAGGTTGGGAAGGTCAGGTGACTCCAGGTAGGAAGCATTGGATTTGCTCTGGTGCTTTTAGCTCTGGGGCCAGTCTAAGGCCTTTCTCCGGTGTGGCTGTCCAGGGTTTATCCCAAAGTGTTTAAGTGAGCCAGTTTGAGAAGGGGCCATGCTTTCTGTTTTCTGTTTCCTCTTTCACACAACCCAAAAAAAAATAAAAGAAAAAACGCAGAGACCAAGCGTGACCTGCTGGTTTCCGGATGGAGCCAGGCTGCCAGGCAGGCCCCTCCTTCCCACAGCAGCTACTTCCATGTGGGGAACTACTGGTGCACTGAGCAGCAGTCACCCCAATCCCAGCACAGCCCCACCTGGCCTCTGCGGCTGCCTGTGTCTCCACTGTCTTCACCACTGCTGCCACGTTCTTCACCCACCGTGTCTCTCGGCCCACTGGAGGTATCAGAAATTCCAATTTTTCAAAGCAGTTTCAGTATTTTCAGTATGTATGTTGGATTTTCATAATGGTTCATGGCCAGAAAAAGTTCAGCACCTCCCACACCTTTAAAGAAAAGAAAACTGAAATGACACCAGCTCTGAAAATTAAGAGAATTGAGCTGATATTAAAAGTGACAAGAAATTAGTATACGTCAGAAGGTCAACAGCACAGGACCCATTTATGACAACTGGACTTTTTTTTTTGTAGAGGTTTTTGCCTCAGTGTGTATGTGCTCACTGGAGAGACAGAGATAGTGAGAGAGAAAGTGAGAAATCACCCCCAGGAGGATGGTCTCACCGCAGTTGCTTCTCCCAAGATCTTGGTTGGGCATGTATGCATATGTGCCCAGCTTGAGCTTCATGCACTGGGTCCAGGACTAGAACTGTAATCACCAATGTGGAAGTCCAGTGCCTTAACCACTATGCCACCTGCCAGCCCTGACTATAGGCCTTTAATGGTAACCTGGGATTCTGAACCGTGAGAACCTATTACCTCTTCAAAACTAATAAAGACAAAAACAAACAAACAAACAAAAAAACAAGTTCTCTGCCCAGAGAAGGCAAAAACCTCTCAGGAGAAAGGGCCAGAAAGTGACAGTGTGAATGAATCCCATGCAAACGAGAGGCAGTGCCGCGTCCACGTAACGGGCTCACTCACACAGACATTGGTCCGTTTCCTGGTCTTGGCATCTCTGAGTTCTGTTGGTCCAGCTCAGACAGCAACTTTAAAATGTTCAGTGCAGCCTAGTGGGAATGGAAAGAAAAGTCAGGCCTGGGCCACCACCTGGGACACAGCGTAACAGATGGAAGCACAGGTTCTTGCTGCCTGGTCCCACTAATAAAATGTTTGAATTTTTAATTAAAAATATATAAATTTTGTGTCAAACTGGACTGGTGGTTAAGGAAGCTAGATCCTATATGACCAACTGCAGCTTCAGACACACCACACGGGTGTGTGTGTATATATGTAGGCCCAAAATCCTAAAATGGTGGAAAGGGAAGTTAATTAGCCAGAGTTAAAAAGTTAATTAGCCAGAGTTACCTCATTGAATCAAAACCTTTTTTCCCTTAGTTTGCTACAGGGTATGTGCTCACTAGGAGTTGGGGCAGAGAATGAGAAATCACCCCTTGCGGGGATAGCCACGTTGCAATCCCCTCTCCTATTCTCAAGATTTTGAACTCACATACACACACAGACACGCCTAGTCTGATTTTCAAGCCCTGGGTCCAGGACTCAAACCATGCTGTCAGCCATGTGGGATCTAGCCACCTTAACCTCCATGCCACCTGCTGGCCCAAAACAGCTGTTATTTTATGTTTTTCCTTCCAGAATTTTAAGCCTTTAGACAGCTAGGCTGTACAAAATTTACATCTTGCTTTCAAACAAGCTTACTGTGTACTTTTCTTATTATGACAGTATCTTCAGACATTAAACTGAAGGATGCACTGTGCCCCTCTACACAGTTTACTCGGCTTCGTTAATCAGGTCAATTCCTGCTCACTTCTAATGTTTCCTACAGTAACGACTTCATCTGAACAGAAGACCAGTTAGGGGCCTTAGGCAGCCGCCAGAACATGGACCTGCAACCCCTTGTTCTGGTGGGAGAGGAAATGAATCTGTCTCGTGACAAGTTCCGGGACCCCTGCTGAGCCTCCAGGCTGGCATGGGAAGGAAGGGAAAGGCTGACTAGAGCCAGTGAGGGAACAGCCCATCAACCAAGACAAAAGTCCTGACAGATACACGGACACGAATTCTATCACCCCCTGCTCTCAAAATCTACTCAAGGGCCCTCTTCCTCTCCTCCCAAGGCCTCCGTGCAAGCACTCAAGCTCACCCAAGGACAACCTACCATATCATGGCAGGACTCTACATCCTTGCCGATGCCGTGACTGATCAGTGGCGGCTGAGAGGAGCAATTGATGAGAGACACAAATTCATTCTTGTTGTTTTTGGGGAAGTCTTTGTATTCAACCTACAGAGGAAAGGAGAGTGAGGCAGGGTACAGAAGTCGCACAGCCAAGGGGCGCAGGGCTGTGGCTCCAGGACCACACACTTCCCTCTACTGGGCTCAGCCTGACTGGGGCCACACCAACGGCTGCCTGGCTGGTGGTACTGCTGCAGAGGTCCAGAACCTTCCTACAACAAGCCACGTCCTTTCGTATCAGGCAGGAAGGGTCGGTCCAACAGGTCTGTTCTCTTTAAAGCCTAGATCTATTACCATGACCAGTGCTTATTAGCAGCTTAGGTTTTAGGGTTGGCTTGGGTCTTGAAAATATTGCCAAAGCTCAGGGATCTTCTCTTAACTATCCATCTTCATAACACCTTGCACACCTCCCCCTTCCCTCTCCAGGACCATCCTTCAGCAGTTCTCTCCACCAATCACCCTAGACAAAGAGTCTGATTTTAAAAACAAGGACCAGTCATAGTGGTGCATAGACAACATCACTGCTTGGGTGGCTGGAAGCCACAGGAGAGGCCCAGGTTCAACTGCCTGGCCAAACTGACCACACAGGCCTGGTTGTCTGTGCCTGTGGTCCCGACTGGGAGGCCTAGGGCAGGGGGAGACCCTGTCAAAAATCTCTTTTTCCTCTCTCTTCTCCCTCTAAGTGGTAAAAACAAACCAGGTGCAAAGCCCACTGTCTGAAAGGAGCCCAGACAATGCCCACAACAAGGTGCGCCCCTCAGCTCGGCTCTGGCAGTTACCTGGAATCCCTGGACTCTGGAAAGATAGTCCAGTTGCTCAGAGGGTCTGGTGAGAGGTCCATGTGGCGCATGGCCTGAAGAGATGTTATTCTTTAAGATGGTCTCGGCCGTGGGCGAGGTGCCCCCATACAGCAATTCTCGGGCTATCATGGCAGTTACCGTGGCCTTGGCAGGGTTCGGGGCTGCCCTGGTGAAATCTTTGGTGTGATGTCCTTGACTGACCCCCACAGCCTGGGCAACCTCGGGCACCATGGGAAGAATCCCAGCAGGCAGCTGCTGATGACTCAGATAAGGCATCCTGAACTCATCCTCTTTGTGACCTGGGAGGGACACACACAGAGACAGACACGGATCATCAGCCTTCCCTAGAGAACCCGACCAGGCCCGAGACCCCCGCACTGCCCTCCCCACAGCATGCGTGGGATGAGGCGGGCGCAGCTCGCTGCAAGTTCTTACTCACTTACGCCGCACCTGCTGGGACTCAGGACCGTGTAACTCTCAGTCACAGACCAACACAACAGAAGCCCACTTACTAGTCCCATTTTCATCTGCAGAGCCAGGTTCAAAAAAGGTTACTTTTCTTCCATCCCCAGGTTTCTTTACTGGTGTCTTTTTAAAAAAAGAAAAAAAAGATCATAAGCATAAATCAGACCACTGAAAACTTAGTTCTTACTTTCTAAAACTACATCAGCTCCTGCCAGCATCAATTGAGAAAACTGGCCAAAAACTCTGCCCTAAACTACCCACCTGAGTGCTCACACCCCGCCTTTTCACTAATGCACCCTCCTGCCCATGGCACAAAGAGCATCCCACCCAGCGACGCTCGGCTCACAGAAATGCTCTGCCAGAAAGAGAAGATACTAGACTGCTACAGCCCATCACGGGGGAAGAGCAGCTTCCAGATTAAAGCTGAACAAATACATCAAGCACATTTCCTAGAGCTAATATCCGATTGGAAATAAGATGACATTTCCAAAGGTAACACACCTACAGGGAAAATGTCTTAATACTAGCTAGCATTCTGTCCAATGCCAGATCTTTTTCTTGAAGTAACAAGGTGGGGATGCTGCTTACGAATATACTATGTAGTTTTGGAATGAAAAACCCAAAAGCCAGGGCCAGGATCTATGCTGATGCCACTGCAAGTGACTGAGCCACAGCTGATGCTGTTTCTGTCGGTACGACTGGCAGAGGCAAATGCATCAGTCCTGATTTCAAGTTTATCCCCAATGAGACCATTCAGTGACTAGAAAGGAGGTCACCCAAGGCCTTTGCTGAGGTCTTACTTCCCACTCTTGGCAGAAGTGGGCTTTTCAATATGGGATCATCGTCATCTGGTGTACAGTTCAGGGAAGGAAAAAGAACCCCAAACTTAAACCATGGCTTCACCCTGACTCTTAATCACACTCCTTGTCCCAGGAAAACCACAGCCAGGTCTACAATCAACAAGAGTAAGGTTTACTAGGGACCAGCAGATGGCATAATAGTCATGTCGCTGGACTCCCTTGTAGTCGACCACAGTTCAAGTCCCAGACCCGGTGGCTTAAACTCAAGCTGGGTGCGTGTGCGTGTGTGCCCAAGATCCCGAGAGGAGAATGGAGGAGAAGGGAATGTAGCACAGCCATGCCCCTAAGGGGTGATTTCTCGCTTTCTGTCTCTCTTTCTCTTTTTGGAGAGCACACGCGTCCTATAGCAAAAGCCTCTCCCCCCAAAAAAAGAGTAAAGTTTACTACTCGCTTGTGCAAGATTCATTTCAGGAGCACAAACGACAGAGTGATTCTCATTAATCTCAAGCCAAACCACCCTGCACCCTAGAAGTGAAGAGGAACAAGCTGCCCCAGACCACGCATACTGAAACCACCACAATTTAAGTCAGAGCCAACCCTGGAGCCTATTCTGTGCACACTGCAAGGGTCCAAATGGGGATGACGCCACTCTTAGGTTTTAGGGTTGGCTTGGGTCTTGAAAATATTGCCAAAGCTCAGGGATCTTCTCTTAACTATCCATCTTCATAACACCTTGCACACCTCCCCCTTCCCGCTCCAGGACCATCCTTCAGCAGTTCTCTCCACCAATCACCCTAGACAAAGAGTCTGATTTTAAAAACAAGGACCAGTCATAGTGGTGCATAGACAACATCACTGCTTGGGTGGCTGGAAGCCACAGGAGAGGCCCAGGTTCAACTGCCTGGCCAAACTGACCACACAGGCCTGGTTGTCTGTGCCTGTGGTCCCGACTGGGAGGCCTAGGGCAGGGGGAGACCCTGTCAAAAATCTCTTTTTCCTCTCTCTTCTCCCTCTAAGTGGTAAAAACAAACCAGGTGCAAAGCCCACTGTCTGAAAGGAGCCCAGACAATGCCCACAACAAGGTGCGCCCCTCAGCTCGGCTCTGGCAGTTACCTGGAATCCCTGGACTCTGGAAAGATAGTCCAGTTGCTCAGAGGGTCTGGTGAGAGGTCCATGTGGCGCATGGCCTGAAGAGATGTTATTCTTTAAGATGGTCTCGGCCGTGGGCGAGGTGCCCCCATACAGCAATTCTCGGGCTATCATGGCAGTTACCGTGGCCTTGGCAGGGTTCGGGGCTGCCCTGGTGAAATCTTTGGTGTGATGTCCTTGACTGACCCCCACAGCCTGGGCAACCTCGGGCACCATGGGAAGAATCCCAGCAGGCAGCTGCTGATGACTCAGATAAGGCATCCTGAACTCATCCTCTTTGTGACCTGGGAGGGACACACACAGAGACAGACACGGATCATCAGCCTTCCCTAGAGAACCCGACCAGGCCCGAGACCCCCGCACTGCCCTCCCCACAGCATGCGTGGGATGAGGCGGGCGCAGCTCGCTGCAAGTTCTTACTCACTTACGCCGCACCTGCTGGGACTCAGGACCGTGTAACTCTCAGTCACAGACCAACACAACAGAAGCCCACTTACTAGTCCCATTTTCATCTGCAGAGCCAGGTTCAAAAAAGGTTACTTTTCTTCCATCCCCAGGTTTCTTTACTGGTGTCTTTTTAAAAAAAGAAAAAAAAGATCATAAGCATAAATCAGACCACTGAAAACTTAGTTCTTACTTTCTAAAACTACATCAGCTCCTGCCAGCATCAATTGAGAAAACTGGCCAAAAACTCTGCCCTAAACTACCCACCTGAGTGCTCACACCCCGCCTTTTCACTAATGCACCCTCCTGCCCATGGCACAAAGAGCATCCCACCCAGCGACGCTCGGCTCACAGAAATGCTCTGCCAGAAAGAGAAGATACTAGACTGCTACAGCCCATCACGGGGGAAGAGCAGCTTCCAGATTAAAGCTGAACAAATACATCAAGCACATTTCCTAGAGCTAATATCCGATTGGAAATAAGATGACATTTCCAAAGGTAACACACCTACAGGGAAAATGTCTTAATACTAGCTAGCATTCTGTCCAATGCCAGATCTTTTTCTTGAAGTAACAAGGTGGGGATGCTGCTTACGAATATACTATGTAGTTTTGGAATGAAAAACCCAAAAGCCAGGGCCAGGATCTATGCTGATGCCACTGCAAGTGACTGAGCCACAGCTGATGCTGTTTCTGTCGGTACGACTGGCAGAGGCAAATGCATCAGTCCTGATTTCAAGTTTATCCCCAATGAGACCATTCAGTGACTAGAAAGGAGGTCACCCAAGGCCTTTGCTGAGGTCTTACTTCCCACTCTTGGCAGAAGTGGGCTTTTCAATATGGGATCATCGTCATCTGGTGTACAGTTCAGGGAAGGAAAAAGAACCCCAAACTTAAACCATGGCTTCACCCTGACTCTTAATCACACTCCTTGTCCCAGGAAAACCACAGCCAGGTCTACAATCAACAAGAGTAAGGTTTACTAGGGACCAGCAGATGGCATAATAGTCATGTCGCTGGACTCCCTTGTAGTCGACCACAGTTCAAGTCCCAGACCCGGTGGCTTAAACTCAAGCTGGGTGCGTGTGCGTGTGTGCCCAAGATCCCGAGAGGAGAATGGAGGAGAAGGGAATGTAGCACAGCCATGCCCCTAAGGGGTGATTTCTCGCTTTCTGTCTCTCTTTCTCTTTTTGGAGAGCACACGCGTCCTATAGCAAAAGCCTCTCCCCCCAAAAAAAGAGTAAAGTTTACTACTCGCTTGTGCAAGATTCATTTCAGGAGCACAAACGACAGAGTGATTCTCATTAATCTCAAGCCAAACCACCCTGCACCCTAGAAGTGAAGAGGAACAAGCTGCCCCAGACCACGCATACTGAAACCACCACAATTTAAGTCAGAGCCAACCCTGGAGCCTATTCTGTGCACACTGCAAGGGTCCAAATGGGGATGACGCCACTCAACAGGGCTGCTGCAGAGCCAGGAGTTCGAAGCCTTGCCCTGAAGCTTGTCTCTAGAAGGGCCAGAGTTCCATAGGGGACATGAGACAGCATCTTGCAATAATAAGCCTCAAGCAGTCACCTTTTCCTCAGACTTGAGTGCTGGTTTGGTGGGCTGAGCCTGTGGGACTTTGAAACCAAGGATCTCCAGCATGTTCTCGGCCGCATTGCGTTTGGCCACCTTCTTATTGGTGCCTGCTCCTTCTGCAGTGTGGTTTCCAACCTTAACCTGCGGAAAGAAGTTACAACACAGACCAGTGCTTCAACCTGTAATGACCAGGCAGGAACTGTATGTTCACGCATGGCCACCCACAGCGGTCAGGGGCTGGATGGTGGAAAAGCGGTGCCCTGGGCCAGTCTGCCCTGGTCTACAATACATATCAGGAATTTGGAGAACTGGCTTTTAAACATAGCCATTATTAAACATTGGGTTTATGAGCGCTATTATTTTAACAAAGATAATGAATATTCAAGACTTATCCCTTCCTAACTTGACTGCGTTTAACAAGGATCTGTGCTCTGTTGTATCATGTGATGAAAAGATCACACGGCATATGCCACTGCACCTCTCCCCCAGCTCCATGGCCAACAGTCACTCTGACAGCGTGGTGTCACCTCAGTTGGAGTACATGTACCACAGAAATCTACGAGGACTTTACTGAATGTCTAACTCTACATGTAAAGTGATGAAGTTAATGACCCAGATTAGATTAAAAGCATGTGAGTCTACAGCCATTACACTAGTATCAAAACCAGAACCACCTCCCAGTCTTCAGACACTATCATCCAATTCAGCAGAGAAGCTCCTCTTCTGTTTACAAATGAGGGGAAATTCTGTATGTCTTAGTTTTTTACTTTCATCTTACATGTTAATATAAATAAAAATATCAACCAATATTTATGCTAAAACTAAAATCCCACATCTAAATTATGGATTAATGACACGAGTGATTTCCTTGCTGAACTAGGCAATAATGAAACGTGTGTTGTCTGATTTTACGCTACTACTGTTGGTGACTGTCACTACAGCCGCACGTTCCTAGATGCAGACGCGTGTGCATCTTCTCCCCATGTCGCTCTCCCTGGAGGTGGCTACATACAGGCTCTGGCACACCACCGCTCAACACCCCTCGCAAGCTGGCCTGCTCACAGGTACTTGGCTGCTGAAACCAAAAGCCTCAAGTCACAAGACTGCATCAAGGAAGCCTTTTCCTGGCCAGTAGGCAGTTGCCTGGGACCAAATTCCAACCTGACGGTCTAATAGCCATTCCAGCTCAGACAAATTACTGGACCTCTCAGGAAGCTGCAGCTTCCTCCTTGGGAAAGGACCATGACTTTTCCTACCTTCTGACTGGGAACGTGAAAAGCACCAGGATAAGTGACAGTTCTAAGTAGTAAACTGCAACACCAGAGAGTGAAGTATTATTTTCCATTAGAGAATACTAGTAAGTTTACATCACAATTTAGTTAAGCTACTCACCTGTAGTAACCTTTTAATAAGCTAAATACAAGGAGAAACATTTTGTGCTAATCTGAAATACTACTCAGTCTTGGGAGGAGCTGACCCTGGATTCCAGATCCTATAAAAGGATTAGAAGGAACAAGAACAGATCTTTTGATAGCATTCGTAAAATTTATCTTTTGTTTTCTGGGTTTTTTTTGTTTGTTTGTTTTTAATTTGCTATAGGCTATATGTGTGAGACAGAGAGAAAGGGAGGAAGAAAGTGAGAAAGCACTCCCAGGGTGGATGGCCACTATATCCCTTCTTCTCTGTTTGTCCTCTCAGGATTTGGGGCATGCATGCAACATGCCCAGCGTGCTTCTCAAGCCACCAGGTCCAGGACTTGAACCCAGCAGTAGGCCATATGCAATCTACCCACTTCAACCATGCCACTGCCTGGCCCTAAAAAAAAATTTTGAGAGGTTTTTGCTATCGGGTGCGTGCGCTTGCCAAAGAGAGAAAGACAGAGACAGGAAGCAAGAAATCACACCCCAGGGGGAATGGCCACGCCACAATTCGTCTCCTCCACTCTCTTCTGGGGATCTTGGACACGCATACACACGCACCCGGCATGAGTTTAAGCCACCATGTCTGGGACTCGAACCACGGCTGACCACATGGGAGTTCAGCGACACAGCCATTACACCAACTGCTGGTCCTCCAGCCCTAAAATTTAATCTGTTGAAAAGAACGATATTGGCCCAGCCGCATAGCATGTGCTGGTAGATGCTGCTACCCAGCAGGCTGAAGCCACATGGGAAGCCTGGGTTCAGTTCCTGGTGCACCTTACAAGTCGGGCACCATGATGCATGCCTATCATCCTAGTAAGTCAGGAGGCTGAGGCAAGAGGATCACAGCAGAGAGAGACCCTGTCCTAAAAGAAAGACCAGAAGAGTATCATAAACCTCCAAGGACGTGTAATTAAGAACAACCCGCCCACAGCCCCACCACCCTGCAGTCTGGCTGCATCCCCCGTGACACAGCAGCACCTTGCACTGTGCAGACCAGTGCATGTTTCTAAGGAGTCCAGTGATCACAAGCAATGGGTCTGAGTAACAACAATGTACGGTGGCCCGCACAGCCCACTGGACCTGCCCTCCCCAGGAAAGCCTCCAGTCCCTGGATCTTGATCAGACCCCAGGCCTAGATACGATGAAGGGAAGAGCACCCACAAGGATCACAGACCCACCTGCATCACAAACTCCCTACGGCGCGGGAGGCCTCGTTCTGTGAGGAGCACGTATTCCGGCTCCTTGTCCTTCTTCGCCTGCTGGATCTGGGCCAGTCTGCTAATTGGGTTCATGGCCTGGCCATATTCTGGGCTTGCCTGTAGCTGAGGGACACAAAATATATGATCATGCGCAATGTTATTCGCAGAGAATGACCTTGCACATTCTGAGATGAGACTGTGACAGCAAAAGGAACAGAGTATGCTAACCTAATGGGTTGGCATCAGTCAGACCCTCTCTTAATCTTTTTAAAATTCTTATAATTATTGGGACCAGCAGTTAGCGTAACAGCTATGTCACTGGACTCCCGTGTAGTCAACCGCAGTTCGCGTCCTGGACCCAATGGCTTAAAACTCATGCCAGGCACGTGTGCGTGCATGCCCAAGATCCCGAGAGGAGAACAGAGGAGAAGGGATTGCAGCGTGGCCATCCCCTCTGGGGGGTGATTTCTCGCTCTCTGTCTCTCTGTCTCTCTCTGTCTGGCGAGTGCACGCGCCCTATAGTAAAAACTTCTCCAAAAAAAAAAAATCTTATAATTATCACCGACTGTTTTAAGGCAATTTCTTGTTTGCTTTTTTAGTTTTTGCTATAGGATGTGTGCACTCGGTAGAGAGAGAAAGGTAGGTGGGGAGGAGAGTGAGAAATCACCCCTCAGGGGCATGGACAATCCCTTCTCCACTCTCCTCCTGGGGTTTGGGGCACCTATGAACATGTGCCCAGCATGATTCTTAAGCTGCCAGGTTCTGGACTCAAACCGCAAAGCCAGTCATAAGGATCCAGCACCTTAACCTCCATACCATCTGCTGGTCCTTCTAATTTTTTAAAAAAGAACTATTTAAACTTTATTTATCCATTTATTTATTTATTTTAATTTGTCCAGAAAGGGGGAGAGAGAGAGAGAGAGAGAGAGAGAGAGAGAGAAAGACACTAGGTCTGGGATTCAAACCATGGGCGGGCCGGCGTGGGATCCAGCATCTTAACCACCATGTCACCAGAGTCCAGTGCCCTTCACCACCACACCACCTGCTGGTCCCCTTCTAAGGTAATTTTAACCAACATCAACATTTCACTATAAGGCAAGCATCATCACCATGCACGCTTTTTAAAGAAATTTCAACATATAACAGTAAATACAGAGGGAGAAAATTTTAAACACAATTCTTAAACTCTCTGAAATTCTGTACTATGATTTTCTTAATGACGACTCAAAATCCAGAAACCATTAAATAATAATAACTCAGGCTGACACCATGGAGAAAGCAGAATCCTGCAAATTCTATGCCAACGAATCTTCACCCACTCCACTGATTAGGAGTAATTTCCAGGATTTGTTAAGCAAAAATAAATAAATAAATAAAAGGGTGAAGGGGGATACAAAGGAGTATAGATAGAATGCTTTTATGTAGGAAAAGATTGGGGGACCAGCAGGCGGCATGGTGGTTAAGTGCACTGGACTCCCACATGGCCGACTGGTTGAAGTCCTGGACCTGGTGACTTACTTTCTTACTTTCCCTCTCTCTCTGTCTCTGTTTCTCTCTGGTCAAGTTAAATAATAATGATGATGATGAATAAAACTAAAATACTTATTTAAAAAAAGAAAAAACTGGATCTTGATGTAGTATGAAACTATATTGAAAACCACTACAGAACAAATCCTGGCATCATCAATTGTCCCCAGATGGAATCCTGTCCCTTTGCCAGGGATGGGGAAGGCTTTGCTATAGTGTTTGGGAGGTCCCTTAGTGTGGCTCAAAACTCAAAAGCAGCAGCACCCTCACCTCGCCCACGGGCCTTTCACCCAAGGTGCCTCTCCACCTTCAGAACCACATGGTGGTCGCCGAGGAGGCAGCACTACGGATTAACCACCCACACCAGTTCCTCATTTTTTGTGCCACCACCAGGGCTGCGATGGACACCCTCCTGCACCAATGTGCGTGCACAAGTACAGAGACTT